GGCAGGGGTCTTATAGGGGTTATCTGTTTTGCTCACTGCTTTTAGAACAGAGATTAGCACATTGCAGAGGGCTTAATAAAATTTTGTTGAATAAGTAAATCAGTGAATGAACCCAAGCCCATCATTTGATGGACAAAGAATCTACCCAAAGAGTCAAGGGGCTGGAAGGCCTCTTCAGTTTGGCAGAAGAATCCAGCTGACCATTCTGACTTACAGCCTCTTCCTCTAGTGCCCACTGCCCATTAGTGCTCTCTCCCCTTTACTGTGCTCTCTCCCGGAGCCCCAATCTCAGGGCTCACGTTATCAGTCGGGACAGAGACCTGCTTAGTTCCTTCCCACAAAAGTAAAAATTGTGGCCTTGCTGGGGGAAATATTTATTATCTGCAGCAAGCAAATGGCCCATATTTATCCATTCCAGCAGCAATTCCTTGCTTGCCTGGTTTATGTTTGTTTAGTAACAGGTTGAATATATTAAGTTGTGCATGTAATACACCAGGTAGTATTTGTGCTTTCCTTGACTTTGAAATTCGGCTTACTTAAGTCATGGATTGAAACCTGTCTCCTGTACTCTTTTTGAACAATGAATGCTTTAATTTTCAAGCTACATATTTGAAAATGGAAACTAGAAGCATCCAGAAGATTGCATTTTATATTATTCTGTGTCCTTTCCCCTTATAGGGTATGGGCATGCTCTGGTTAAGAAGATGATCCTATCTAAGGTACAGAAATGTAGCTATTACAAAGCATTTTTGAAATGTCCATGGTAACCATTAAGGGGTAGATGGCTCTCTGTTGTTTGAAAATGTTACAGTAAGAGGTCAAGTTTCTTAGGCCCCCAGAGGACTCCAGAGATGCTTTGGGAGTTGGCGAATGAACAAACGTGGTGGGGAGTGGTGATTCTACTAAATAATAGTATATACTCTCTCCATTGCACTCAGTGGCTGAGGCCTTAGGTTTTATTTAGAATAATATTTTGTTTTGTTTTCCTTAATAAAAATCTTGACCAAAAGGCTGCCAAATGATAGCCCTCAAGTCTTATTTAGCCCTTGATTGTGTTTGTTTGGCTCACATGGTTTTTTAAAACAATTATTACCAATATATAACATTTTATATACATTTTCTAACTTCTTTTGGAAGAAAACCCAAAGATCTGGCAACACAGCCCATGCTCTTCTAAGGCAGAGAGATCTCAAAATGTGATCCCTGGACCAGCAGCATTAGCACTGGGAGCTTGTTAGAAATGCAAACACTCAGGCTGCACCCCAGACCTATAAAAGCAGAAACTCTGGGGGTGGGGCCCACGGATTGGGTTTTAACAAGCCCTCCAAGTCGTTCTGATACATACAGAAGTTGGGAACCTCACTTTCAGAGATAACAATTGGTAGGAGCTGAAGAGCCGCTAAACACAAAATGGCAACTGTGGTCCTTGGGTTCCTGCAATCCCTCCACTTCTCTCTGCCTTGACCCTGGACAATGCAGCTACTAACATTAACTTCTCAGGTCCTGTAGATATTCAAGTCTACAGCTCTTAAGCTAGTCTATCTTGTTTCTGTGAGCTTGTGTTTGATGTGTGTCTGTTCCAAGAGTTAACCGCTGGATGAACAGGTGGAATGAGAAAATATATCAGTATCCTCACAGGTGAGGATATCAAGGGAGACTAGCCTAAGATCTGGAGAGCCAAAGTCCCTTCCAGACTTTTTGGAGAAATCAGAGGGGCAGATTCTATGTTATGCTATCCTGTGGAAGGCAAAGACCAGACAGATAAAGTGTGAGACTTGAGTTTCTGTGGGCATTTACTTTTGGGGTCTGCACTGAGATGGAAAATAATAGAAAATAATGGCAGTGGGTACAGAGATACTCCCCTGAATGAGGCTAGAGATTTGCATTGTGGGGATGTTGAAGGATGATTCAGTCGTGGTGAAAACCGGGAAGCAGGCTGGCTATTGGAGTGTATGCCCTGGGGACGGCTTGTCAAGGTTTTACCTCTGTTCTTTTTCCTCGGTTTATGGGCACAGCCATGTCTATCATACAGCTTTATTTTTCCCTTCTTCTGTTTTAGTTTCCTTTGCTAATTCTCCCAACCTTGCCATAGGCCATGTGACCATGAGTGGCTGCACTGTTGGAAACTAGAGTAGGCGAATAAACGGAAGACTTGCTGCATTCACCTCCTGGAGAGGTCCTGGAGAGAGTCAGGGACATCCTAGGGAAGGGGACTGAAGTCCAAGAGTTCCAGGTGGTAAAAAGCTCAGATGTGTCCATTGGTCCCCAAGGGGACAGACAGGAACAGGGAGAGGCGTGGCACTCAGCAAACGCGAAACAAATCACCTATTTCCCAAGTGTGTTAAAGGGAGATGCCCCCAGAAGGAGAAGGGAGAGTTTATCCTTAGGGTACAACAAGGCTGGCAAATCATGCTGGTTAACAAAAGTATGATTTTTGTTCAATTGCAAGAGATCACATTTTCAGTCCAACTGCAGGAGAAATTGAATGACAATGTTCTCATCATGTCCATCTCTTAAAGAAATCACTTATTTTAAAGAATACATAACAAATTCAATTACTAGTGATACAAGTAAGGAAAAAAAGCATGCAAATCTTCAGGATAGTTGAAGTTCTAGTTCTGATTTTAAAATTTTAATTGATCCTAGAGATTGCTCTAAAATCTGCTATGATATTGTTGCAATTGAGCAGCTTCCTTCAGATCTCTGCCTTCTCTGGCCACCACATAAAGATGTGCTCCCCTTCTCCCACCCTCACGCTCCCTCTCCTCCTGCTTTATTCATCCACACAGGGCTCCATCTGACATGGGATACATCTGGTGCTTAATCATGATGTATCTCTGTATTTCTACTAGGACACTGGCTCTCAGAGCGAAGGACTTAGTTTGGTTCACTGCTGTGTCCCTAACTGCACCATGGCTGGCACAGAGCAGGCAGCCAACAAGCGTGTGTTGAATGAATGAATGATCCGGGTTCCATTTGTAAACAACATCTGAAAACAAATTTGGCTTTCAAAGAAGCTGAGTTGACTGTCACGGCTGGGGATTCTACATAATGGGAGAGACTGTCTCCTTTGGTGCTGGCATTACCCAAAGCATCATGTATATTGACCTCAAAGATGAAATTGAAGGTGTAATATGATGAGAAAGTACTGACTCTTGGAAGTATGAAAAGTAAGTTTTCAGAGTAAAATGGTGTTTGCAAATCTTAACCTCTGACTGAGCAATTTCAGTGGGGCAAGGGGAACCCTACAGCATATCACAACCATGGAAGGCAAAACATATTCTGTAGCTTTATTAGTTATACCAGAAACATCAAGTAGCCGCTGGAAAAATCTCTATAAATGTAGTTCTGATGGGGAATATTACAGGGCTCAGAAAGCAAAATCCCTAAGGAAAATTAGTGGGTAGGAACCTAAAGAGAGGAAGAAATTATGTATGTTTACACATAACTGAATAAAGGTTTAATGAAATGTAAGATTTCCAGATTGGTTTGCAATTTGCAATATAAAATCTATATTCACTCTTAGTACAAGCATCCCTGAAAGTCACTGTCATTTATTGAAAGGTTTTTGTTTTTGTTTTTGTTTTAACTGAGTTTTAGTTAATCTTACGAATTTAGCACTTTTTAGAGACTATGGTTACGTTCGGGGAACGATATTTTGCAAATCTGTTGCACATACTTTGTATTTGTTTACCTATATTCATCACTTCATTCAATCGTCCATCCATATGCTGAGAAATGAACTATATACAACTCTACGGGTTATCAACAGGATGCCAGAATAAGAACTATTGAAAAGCAAATACAATGCCGTTACACAGGCAATGTTTCATTGAACTGAAATTTTGCCAGGCGTAAATTATACTACAGAAGCAAAAATGGGTAACTTGGTTTGAAAAGAGAGAAAATAGATTAGGTTTGTAACACATTCTTGGAGAGTAGTTTCTAAAGACCTCAGAGTGTTAAAAGTGGTTGCCATTTTATTCATTCCGTTATAAGAGTTGAAGTGGATGTTGGAAATAAACCATAATCACTAACAAATAAGAGACTGGATCAGTACATCCAGTGTAGCTCAGAAATTTGACAAAGCACTGAGGGTTAACACATCACAGGTCACATGCACAGACAATATATCCTGATGTGACATGACCCAGAAGTTGTGATCCATGACATGAAAAGCTCTATACGGGAACATATATGATGACATGTCGGCTTCAAACTATTCTTAGATTCATATTCTTAACTCTTGCAGCAAATTATTTGAAGGCTAAGAATCATTGAAAGTATCCTATAAACTATGAATATGGAAAAAGAAAACTCTTCTTTAATGTACATTTCTGTACTCTTTTAATGGCAATCGGACATTTTTAGACAAAGGATCACACCTGAGTCCAGGTTGAGTGTATAAGTTCACAGTTCCTGGTTTGATATATGGTTCCTTATAGTCTAGTTATTTCAGCATGCGTCTGAAAATCCTACTATATTCGTAGATTAGCAGTTCTCTGATGGAGTGGCCAGCTACTTTTTAGCTGCATAAATATTAAATTATTTTTTTCATTTTTTCACATATTAATTGAGCAAGAACTATGTGCATGGATATAAGCTAGGTGTTGTGAGGGGAAAAAGGAGTTAAAAAGGTGCTGAAGATGTCTGTCCTCAAGGAGAGGGCTGGAAAGGAGGTGTTGGATGTAGCCTAAGGATGAGGCTAAGAGAGAACGACCTGGGATAAGATGTTTAGGTGAAATATTATCTATGTTTTCTTTTGCAAAGGAACGATACCCAATGCCTTATTCTGAATGGAAAAATCTTCATAAATCTAAGTAGATGTCATTATTTAGAATTGTTTGAATTACACCTACATTTGGCAGCAGAATTTTTTTATTTTAAATGGTAATACATGTTAAGGATGACAAAAACTCAAAGTCTTTCACAGGCGTCAGTGCAAGATCACAAGATTTCGGATCAATATGACATGCCTCCTAAGTTTCCATCCATCATACCTTGGCCACTTCTTCTTGAAAAGCCACGAGATTCAAATGGGAGATGTTAACCAAGTCCGGCCCATAGACCACTGTTATCATGCGATGCTCCAGGCGCCCGATGTTCCCCACATCCAAAAGTTCACGTAACTTGGGGTCCTGTATAACAAGTGATAGAAAAAAAATTAGTCAATAACTAGAGATTCTAGCATGGTAATATAATTTCCAAAGAATTCTATCTAGAATGACTTCAAAGCAAAGTTGTTTTTTATTCTTACTAGAAAATGATATGAGCTGAAGCCCTCATATCCTAATTTACCCAACCACAAGGCCAAGAGAGATGAAGCAACTTGTCTAAAGATTGTGGAGCAAGGAATTTCTGGGTCTAGACTTATGGCTCTTTCTACCATGCTGTCATATTCAGTAACATATCTTTATGTGCCACAGATCTCACTTTATTTTCTCAAATCCTTCCATGAGTTACATTGCTATGGATTAAATCATGTCCCCAAACATATGTGTTGCATTATTGGCCTTTGTACTTGTGGAAACTTCCTTTGTTATGTTAATTAGATCATACTTAAGTAGGATGGGTTCTAAATCTTAACACTTCTAAGTTATAAAAAGAGCAGATTAGATGCAGAGACACACAAACTGTGGAAGACAGACCCCGTGTAAGTATTGTCTACAAGCCAAGGAACCAAAGAATGCCTGGGCTCCTGACAAGGAAGTAATTGACAGGTTGAGACCCTGATTTGGACTTTAAGCCTCCAGGACTGTGATAAAATAAATTTGTGATCTTTACAGACACTCACTTGTGATGTTTCTGTTACAGCAGCACTAGGCAACTGAGATACACATATTGAAATGAAAATCTCCATCCTCCCCCTAATTCATGGACACATTAGGAATCAAAATACAACAATGCCGTCGAGTACTTGGGCAGAAACATAGTCGCTCACAGTATGGACGTTCTCCAACATTAAGCACAGATGTAAAGGGATAGGGGTTTAGAGTGAGCAAAATGGCGCACATGCCACAAATATATAAATTTCAATTCTATCCCCAGAACATTCTGGGATCGGTATGTTAGGGCCTGATACAGTCTTCTCAGAGCAAGTTGCATTATATGGGACACCACAAGTCAGGATCCCTTGGAGTTCTAGTCCTGCTGGGAAGAGGAGGTTTCCAAACCGTTTGGAACTCAAAGTAAAACTTAAAATAGGGCTCCATCAGCTTGGCTGCATTTCACGCCACCCCTCGCCCCCCTGCCCATAGAACAGGACTAGAAGGAAATGAGAAGTCTATGTAGAAAACTAGCATCAAATCAATCACTTAGCAAATTTGTAGCCAGGTTTCTGAGCAAGGAATAGACTTGCTTTTTTATGAAGCTAAATACTGGGCCAACAGGGACTGATTACTTAGGCTGGTTATTCTGACCTCACTTCTGAGGTTTTTATACACGCTATCCTTACAAAGAGTCGCAATAAAAAAAAAAGCAAGAAATAAAACCTTTCCTGCCAAATTTCTTTATGTGGCGCCATTCATTTTCCTCTCTTTAGTTAATAAAACTTTCTCCTCTGTTTGACTGCAGGAAGAGAAACATTTTCAGGTAAGTTATGAAGAGAGAAACCCATTTCAAAGTTGTGCCCAATATTAACTGAAATCTCAACTCAACTAACAAGTTGAGAACTTATTAAGTACATCAAGCCCTGTCAAAAGATCAAATACTACCACAATTTACATTACCCAGAAAAGGAGCGGAAAAATAAAAATTTTATTAATAAACAACAATAGCAAAAAAGGGAAATTTTTAGCATTCTAACACTTATAAATAAAAGATTAAAGGAGAATGTTCAGGAAGAATGGGCTTTTTGTGAAGGCTAATTCAAGAATGATACCAGCTGTTTTGTGAAATGATTACAGGCAGTCCTTAGGTTACGTACAACACCTAATTATGAAGCGACCCCCGTAAAACCTATTATATTAAGAATTTGAGGTCCATATAATGGTTCATAATAACAAACTGGGTGCTACTTTGCAATGTGCATCAAAACATTATTATTATTACTGTATAATTATGTTAAAGATGTTTTAGTGTATCTGGAAGTTTTTTAAAATTTTTTTATGCATAGAAAGGTACACTGTATACTAGATACAAAGACAAACATTTGACTAACTAATGTTAGATATGAACCATACCTAACTGTTCCGACTTAACACACAAATTTGACTTAAAGACAGACTTAAGAATGGAACTTGTTCATAATCTGGGGACTGACTGTAATAGTATCACAGTTTTTGAGTATCATTGAGGCAAGGGTATATATATTTTATCAGCACTTTAAATTTATTTTTGGATACTTGGAAGAGAAAAAAATCATTCTCAGGATAAGTTATTAGAGTCCACCAATATTTGTACTTCTGTAACTTTTAATGGGAAAATATTAGAGAACGAATTGGCTCTATATATTTTACTTTCTTTATCACTATTATATTTTTCTTTAAAACTACTCGTTTTCTTGACCTAGTTCATTTTTATCACCACCAAACTTGGTTATGTTAGAATTTTCCTTTGAGAAACAATTCCATGTTTTCTCTTTTTGAACACAACATCCTGAGCTGACTTGGCTGCATGGAACTCCCCTTGCCCCTCCTCCCCCCAAAAAATAGGTTACAGTGAAATCAACTCTAACTTTGACTCATGGCAATCCCATATGTGTCAGAGTAGAGCTGTGCTCCATAGGGTTTTCAGTGGCTGATTATTTGGAAGTAGATTGCCAGGCCTTTCATCTGAGGTGTCTCTGAGTGGACCTGAACCTCCAATGTGTTAACCGTTTGTACCACCCACTTTAGAACCCCATTCCTCATGATTGAGCATATTGAGCTGTGAGGGGAGAAAATATTTGTCTCTTCAAGGTACCAAGAGTTGTCCTCAGTTGTTTTCAGCAGAGGAGAGCTCAAGGAATAGGCAAAGGGGGCATTATCTGGAAGGACAAGCAGTGAAGGCACCAAGTTTTTAAATGACTTTATAGGTGGAAAGAATTTAATAGAAACAGGTGTCTAAAAAAGTTGTTGTTTCTGGGCTAAGTTACTCTCAGTTCTGGGAAAATGAAAGCTTTACTTCAAAAATTAAAAACAAAGTCAAAATGATAACAACAACAAAAACCTATAAACAATTTACATCCAAACCACCCCTTCCCCCAAAAACCAGTCTGTCAAGAAATTTATGTGTGAGTTTTTCCTCATTTATGAAGAGTTTACCTACTCAAATACATTTCTTGGTCTCTGCAATTGATATAAGTTCCTTGAAACTTTTACAAAAAAAAAAAACTGTATAACTCTGCAAAACTTTCTATTTCTCTGTTGGACAACACAAAAGAGTATTGCTCAGAAAAAAATAAGAGGTGACTTACACTTGAAATTTCATTTTTTTGCTAAGTTGCCAACCAAGGCTTGCTTTCAGCAGAGAATATTCTAGATATGACCTCACAGTTGGAATTAACTGGACCAACTAAGAAATCCTGGGAGCTATATTTTAACTGTACATTTAAGATAAGTTCTAGATCATATCGATTCCCATAAGAATTACAAAATGGAGACTGATTGACTCACTTTCTTGCAATCACCAAGATTAGTAACTAAATTAATTCATGTCTGTTGCAAAGAAAGTCAAGTTCTGCTCTTGTTAAAGCCCAAGTAGTGATTCCCATTCCTAGGTGATGTCGCTAAAGAAAATAAAGACTGTTCTACACGTTAGAAATAAGGACTCAGTTATAGCACGTGTTACTGTAATTATAAATATACCATTTAAAACATTAGAAATTAATGGAAGGAAGGAACAAAGGGTAAAGGATTATTTTTTATAAAAAGAGTTAAACGTCAGTTTGAACCCTTATTCCTTATTACGACTTTAAAAGAAAAACTACACTATTAGTATGTTGGATATCCACAAAATAAAGCATCTTTTCAAGACCTCTAGATTTCAATTTTGATACCAGAAGCATTTTTAGTGCAGATGATATAACTTACTCATTTCTCATCCCCATGAAATATATATTTATTGGATTTTAGATTTATTGAAGTTTGTTTATTAGGTTAATTTTATTCCCAGCACTTACTGCAATCCTCTCAATCTGAATTGCAGTTATATAGCTGTAACTTTAATCAATCATTTATATGAATAGGCGTGTGAAAGTCTTTCCATCAATGCTCAGGACAACAGTGGAAATGAAAGAGATAGATTCCTTGTTGTACTTAAGTGACTTACATATGGTTGAGCCTCACAAGGACAAAGCTACCTTTTCTTTGAAGATAGAGCAAACTCTTTTTTTTATGCTTATTCAAATTTTGTTGTAAAGAAAAGATATAAACTTATTTTCAGGGTGAATCTTCATCAATTCCTTGAGGTCAACATTTGCATCCAAAAAAAAGTAGATAACAAATTTCCTTCAAATTCAATGCTTCTCCTTACAGTGGCATCACTAGAGTTGGTGTCACCCAGGGTGGTAACTCATGGTGGCACACCCCCATGCTAATTACCACAATATTGTAGCTGAAACACCAGAAAATTTGACAAAATCAGCAACTATAAAAACACTAGCAAGCAATGAAAACAACAGCGCATGCTTATAGTGCGTGCAGAAGAAACTACGTGATTCCAAGCGTCATTGTATTGGGTAATAATGACAGCTCTGACTGGAGCACATTAGAATGTTCAAAAAGTAAATTAGCATAGAGTTGTAGCCTTGTAGGGATATTGATACGGGTAAGCTGGGCTTATGAAAAATGTTTTTGTTGTTATAATTAACTTCAGGAATATTTTTATAAAAAAATAAATTTCTGCTGAAACACTGCACAAAATTTTATAGAGGGTCATTTTGGTGTCACCCAGTGTGGTCTCCACCCCCACATCCCTCTAGTGACACCACTGTCTCCTCACACCGCTCTTTTATAAACATGATGAAGATGTTACCTTTATAGGAATGTACCAGTAGCGTAGGCAGCTCACTCAGCCAGTGAACTTTTTTAGATAAAATAGTATTCACTTGCATCATGATGATTCTGAAATATAGTGTCATGAACATTTTCCCATACAGCGGTTAAGCTTTGCAGGGTGTTACTTATTTTTGAAATTTTCCCCAAGTTGACAGGTGGGG